TTAAAAATTAAATTATATGCCGCCAGAAAGCCACTAATGTCGACAAATTGTATACTAAGAATTTTAATGAGAGCGTAGCCATGCGTAAGCTCTTCACGGAAACAAATGTCAAAAACAAATTTTTTTAAATAAAATGTTGGTTTGACGTTTCTTGTTTCCATATAGACAGTAGAGAATTACAGGATTTAAAATTTTGGAATAAAATTAAACACAGGGTGTCCCTGCGGTATTCCAGAAAAACAATTTTTTTTAGACAAAATTTCAAAAAATTCTAAATTTTAATGGAATGAATAAAAAATGTATGTAAAAATAGGTTATTTTTTATTATTTTATTAAATAGTACGGGTTTTTTGCTTTACAAAAAGCAATTGCTAATTTTTTGCACTTTCTGAAGTACATACTGCGTTTTTTGCTAATGGATAAACAATTTTTTTTAATTTTTTGTCAGTGCCATAGGAATCTGCACGATTCGTTCTATCTTCAAAAATGACATGTCAGATTAAAAAGCTTGACCTGTGTAAAATAGAAAGGTTATTTTTTTTAAGAGTTGCCACCTGTTAAAAAATTAGATTGTTAAAAAATTGCATTCAAATTTGTATATAAGTTAAATGAATTATTAAGAGATGGGTATCAATCGAAATGTGTATTAACTACACTTAGAGGGTTGCCACCTGTTTACAAAATCAAATTCCTTTTGAACTAAAGGAATAAGGTAATTGAAATAGATAGGTATCACCTCAGAGGTGATCCACGGTAAAAATAAAAATTAAATTACCGTAGATCCACAGTAAAAAATTGCGGTAGATCCACGTTAATTTCTAAGAGTGTATTTGCTGTAAATCCACGGCAAAAAATTACCGTGGATTCAAGGCGTTTTAGAAGTGCGCTAATAACTGCCTTTTTAACAGTGGATCTACGAAGAAAATTACTTTGGATACGAGGTTATCTATTTTTTGAGCAAACTTTAATCCAAAGTCCTCCGATTGGTACTGTTGGAAAGTTGGAGATCCCATTTTCAATACTAACCCCTTCTAGGTGCGAGAACCTTGTAAATTTTAAAATATTTAGTATTAAAGTTTGATTACTTGCTTAATGAACAACACTATGTATTAGACAAACCAAGAAACATAGACGTACACATGGGTAGATAGAATTCTACTTTCTTGCTTGCCGGAGAAGAGGAGCGGAACTTCTTTCTGCGTAAGCGGCCTTCGGTCGCGCATAGGGAATCGAAGTTCACGTTTTTGACGAAAAGTCACTATTAGTGGCTATTAGACTGCTTAGTGAATACCAGGGTAAATCGCTTTCCATCCAGGGAAGCAGTGATCAACATCATTTTCGCCGGATTAGAAATTGTGAACAGGAGAAATTATTGGTGGGAGTAAACTAACACAATGGTCGAAAATAAATATGTATTGAAGAAGGGAAGTGATTCTCACATTCCTAGCAATGAAGATTTTTTCTTATTAATAGATTTACAAAAAATCATGTCTTTCGATTTCCTAAGGGGTTAAGTTTATTCACATAGCTGAATAGGTACGCTTATGTGCGAATTTTCATAATTTTTATCAAATTGCTTATACAAAATCAACTATGTACATGTGTACAAATGTACATACATACATACGTTGTATGTATTTACGCACGTGCAATTTATTTGGTTTTGTTGGTTTGCTTTGTTTGTGTTTATTTTGACTTGATTGTTTTGGAATATTTCATTAGTTTTGCATTTTGAGTGAAGTTTCCAGTGGCAGTTCAACACAAAACAGTTGCGTTTCAAACGATTTGACAATATTTGCTTACATTGCACGCAAATTCATATATATATATATATATATATACACTCGTGGTCAAGCAAACCTTACCACCATTAAAAAAAATTTAGAATTTTGTAAATTAATAAAAAAAAAATATTTTGATTTTTTAAATTTAATTCGAACCGCAGCAAAAACTATTTATATATAGTTCCAAACTTTGTACAAAATTTAGAAAAATTAATTATAATTGATCAAACGTTTCATTAGAATTTTGGTTATGCCGTTTAATGGCCCATATGATTGTAGTATAATTAAGTTTTAGGGGGCTCGAAATTCTCGGTGTTTTCTGAAATTTTTTTTGTCGAACTTCTTGTGTGGATTTTTTTATGTAACGAATGCTACATCGTAGCGAAAAAATGTCTGAAATCAACCAGAACTTTGAGCTACTTCAAACCTACACTTTATTATATTAATTTTCCTTAAGACTTTTATTAAAAAGTTTGAAGTTTTGATCAAAATTTTATAAATTTTGTACAAAGTTTGAAACTTTTATTTATGTAGTTTTTATTGCGGTTTGAACTACATATATTAAAATATATTAATTACAAAATTCTACCACATTTAAAAAGAAGTGGTGGTAAGGTTTGCGTTTCCACGAGTGTATGCATAAAAAAACAAAGTGACGGCATAATAACACTTTTTTTTATATTTTAGTTGCATGTATGCAAACAACAATTTTTTGCCGATTTTATTTATTTTTATGTTTTTTTTGAAAATATGACTAAAATATTATTTGTTTAGCCGGAACGTTCGACGAAAACTTTTGAATTTATTAAAATTCGGACAGGAGCTGGCACGTTAAGCAAACTGAACTTTATGTTTCGATTTAAGGCAATATTTCTAATATAAACAGTTAGTATATATCTACTACATATGGATATTTCCATGCAGCCGTACCCGACATTCATACGGTTATGGAGTAATCTATACATACATACATATATTAAATTGTAACAGGCCGATGTCTGTACATTAAAGATATTAGAGCAACATGTTTTGAGTCATAGTCATAGCCACCGTAGTAATTTTAAAATTTCAAAATTACATTTCTCGACTGAAAAATAAGATATTCGAGCTAACTCGACGGCACACAGTGTGCTTTTTTAACACTTCATGCGAATTATTCGTAGCGCTTTCGACAGAAGCAATATTTTGATATGAAACAAGATGGCTCTGAAAGCTAATGTAATTGCCTTTCAAGGAAAAATATTGCCATTGAGCCACAATAACTCCTTGACCTTAAAAATTTGGTCGAAAAAAGAGTTCTTCGAAAAAAAACATGCAAAATCCAATGGATATATTTTCCCAAAAAAAAAAAACATTTTTTGTATTTTTTATTATACTAAAATGATAGATTTTGATACGAGAAACACTATTCCACTGCCTAGAAAACGAAAACAAGTTTCAAAAATGCATCCTTCACACAATTTTATATCCAAAAAATTCCTCGAACATGTGTTAGTTTATTTCATGTATAGAACCCATAAAATAAATTTTAAGCCAATCGAAAGTGTGACACCAAATTTGGTGTCCGATATGAAAAAGAATGGCTTATATATGGAAGGTGTGAGAATCGGTTGCAAAGTATATTTCATAACGCTATATGCTGGGGGCGTGGCATCTTCCATCCAAACCGAATATTTCATATTGCATATCTCTGGAAGTGATCACGGTAGAGTTCTCGAACATGGTATGGAGATATATGAAATCAATCCCATAGTCTTAGAGAAAATTGGTGCAATAAAAAAAATTTAATTTGGGCGGGACGAAGTTCGCTGGGTCTGCTGGTATTCTTATAGAATTTTTTCCGTAGAATCAGAATCTGAAGAAGTATTAGATTGGCTCCAGCTTTTGAGATACTTTGACTTAAGAGTGCCGAGATACTAATTTTTGGCATTTTTAGACATTATAATGGAATAATGGGGTTTGGTAGAATCTTTTGGATTAGATGTAATAAAGCTAAACATTGCTATTTTAGCACAAAAGGTAAACATTTTACTTTTATAAACATACTTAAGTTATAAAAACTTGTTTAAAAATATACACAGCGAGTAACTACGTATGACGTGCAATTTTCTCAATTATTTTAAAATTTTTAAAGTAGAAATGTGCTGAGTTGTTCGACGTTTTGCTTACCTGTGAATTTCATACACTTTTTAAAAATAAATAAAAGCATAAAGTGTTTTTGTCTTTCGGGATAAAAAACAGACAGGGTGTAAGCTTCATTTACATCTTTCTAAAGATATTCCATCATGTACTGTTTTTTTTATAACATTTCAAAATGTGCTAATGATTCGCTTTTTGACACCTTTATGTCATAATATCTATAGGAATCTTATCCATGCTGAAAAAGCCATTTCGGTCAATGGCGAGCGCTACAGACGCATAATAAGCGATTTTTTATGACCCATAATTGAGAACATACACTTGGACATTCTTCGGTTTCAGCAAAATGGCGCGCCATGTCACACAGCCCAGGAGGCTACGATCGATCTTTTGCGTGCCAATTTCGGTAATCCTGAAGGAGCGATGTTATTAACGATTCAGGCCCTTAAGGCGAATATCGAGCTACCGATTCGTGAGAAGGAGCCAGAAATCGTCACCAAGGTTTTTGGAAAACTCGATTAACAGCTTGCGCTATTGCGACGCTAGCCGAGGCAGCCACATGAATAAACCAACACTATACCGAAAAAAATTGTTTTTGTTAATTTTTTTGCAATTTTTTAAAATAAAACACTATACGGGCCACCCTGTATTTATATTTAAGTATGTATGTCTTTGAATTCAGTGTCCTTGTGTTCATTGAGAGTACGCGTTAATTATCTGACATCAATAGATTTAACCGGTCCAAAATCTCTTACTCTATGTGGTACCACAATTTATTAGATGTTGAACGAATTTATGGATCGATATCTGGTTGCATTTACATACATACGTATGTACATATATTTGCTAATTTATCAAGCTGTCTTTACGCATTATTTTGCATTTGCACATTTATTTACGTCACCATAAATTAAGTCCTGAGCCACACACTTTTTGTTTAACAACAAATTCGCACCGACTGGCGAACGCACATACATATCTATTATTCTGGGTTAACAGTACACATACACTTACATATACACAGACATAGGGAATATAGAAGTGCACAATAAATATGTATGTAGGTGTTACACTTACCTTGCGAGCAATCCGGTCCGGTCCAATGACGTTCGCACACACACTGACCCGTTTCCAGATCGTACGTGCCGTGCTCGGAGCAGCCGGGCAGACACTGATACACTTGCTGATCGATGGTGCCGCAGTCCTCGCCTTGCCAGCCGGCCTTGCAGTAGCACTGACCAGCCACGCAAGTGCCGTGGCCGGAGCACAAGGGATCAAGGCAGTCATCTGCATGCCAATCGGGTCCAACGACGTCGCGGGTTTATAGGTGGGGTGGATAGACGGATGGGCGGTCGGTGGTTTGTGTGTTCATGCGTGCGTCGGCGATGGGGTGTAGTTAGATGAACGAGTTAGCGATACATTAGCAACAAAGGGGCGTGTGCCGCACATGTAACGGGGAAAATATGGAGCAAAAGGAAAGGAGAGAAAAAAAAACGATTAGCATGTTAGACACGTAGAAAAGTGGTCATTAAAATGGAATTCAAGCTGCGTACTAACGTCCGAGCGTGCGCTCGTTTGCTCGTTTGCTCGTGTGTCCGCATGTTGCATTGTTCGTTGTATGTTTGTCTGGTGCTGCAGGTTGCTGCGCTGAATGACGTTGGTTGCAAGTTTTGCTTGCTGAGCAAATCCAATGCTTCGGCTTGCAATAATTGGCAATACAATTGAGCACTCTTGGCTCCCCGTCCCCCCTCCCCCCACCAAGTCCAATTGACTAGTGTTTGCGGGTGCGCGTGTGTGCGTGGCATATCTCTTTTATTGATTATTATTTATTTGTATTAGTTAGTTATGCTCGCATTTGCAGGTGGGGGGGTGGTTGGTTGCGGGCATTCGAAGAATATCGCTTATGGCTGCATTGTTTGCAACTCCTTTCGGAATTTATATTGCATTTTATTGGCGTCATATATTGGAAATGCTTTTGGCAGAGCAGCAGATTTCTCGTTTCGTGTTTCGTTTGCAGTCGGACACTTTAGCATTCCAATAATTGCTTTCTATATTTTTGTTTATTGTGGCAGAAATTGTAAAAAACATTTCGAAAGCAAATATGTATATTGAAAGTGTTTGCACAAGCGTATTTAGAAGATACGGCAAGCGAGCGACTGCAGCATGTCAGCCACAAATAATAGAAAGGGAAGTGTCGTTTGGAATTTGAAATACGCATATAAATGCGTTCGTTCAGTTAATGCAATTAAATTTCTATTATCATTACTTAAACAAAATATGCAGAGTCTAAGAATTTATAAAAATAAATTCTAAATAACTTTCTCACTTCAATAGAATGCATATATGTACATACATATCTTGGCGCATATGTGCATATGAAGCTACGTGGACCAGCGCTTGTGGCACTCAGTATTTCATTGAAGACTCTGTTACGAATCATACAAGTCAAAGAACAAACAACGCAAAACTTGCAGCTCAGACTTGCCGAAAGTAAATACTTTGAAGAGTTATAATCCGAACCCAATGAAAACGACGAGCTATGTATTGACCACAGCTGTCAAAAAATTTTTCCACGTATTCTTATGTATCTAAATAATTATTATGGCGACGACAGGTCTACACGACGACTGTGGTTGTGGCCAGATTAGACTTATTTTTATTTTTCCAGCGACAGATGAGGTTCTTCCTCTTCTCTTATGTCAAACTCAAACAAATTCATGACAAAGCGTTTAGATAATAAACCTAAAAAATTGGAAACTGTGGCCCGTAGCTCGTCGCTTTCAATGTATTCAGCACTTTAGTTCTACTTCTTGATGGCATATTCATATGTAAATATGTATGTATGCATGTCTGTATAAATATGTATACGAATACACGAAATCTCTTGCACCTTCTAAGTAAACATTTCCGAGACAGAATTGAAGAACACTTCAAAACCAATCCGCTAAGAAAAGCCTAAATTTGAGGAACTCACCTTGGAACGGAATTATGGGGATTCTCTTCTCTCTAGATGTTATTACTCGCCTAGTGTCTAGTTCTAGTGGAGCGGTACGAAACGAAAAAAGGTACTCAGACGGTAACACAAAAAACTGCCGGGCCAAAGTGTGTCCCTTTCCTATTATGGCTGAAGGCATCCACTACATCCTGACGCAGAGCTGTATTTGGCAATTCTAGTACAAATTACCCCGACTTGAGACCCATATTATTAATCTTAGCACGTAAGCCTCTCTTTACGGTTCCGCTTTACGCGAACATTTATTTTTTTCAACTTTTCAGGGAGACAAAGGAACTTTTTTGCACTAACTTTTCTAACTTTAAATCATTAAATTTTCTTGTATTACATATTCCAGGTATCCATCCGTTGTTACACATTTGCGCTTGTATGCAAACACACCATCATAAATACATATGTACATATGTAACTCCTAATGCAACCATTTCAGAGTGACTACAACGGAAGCTTCAAATTTTTCTTCGCAGTCAACGCCAACGCCAACGCCAACGCCTCCGTCATCGCCAACCTTTGCTTCAGCGAAGTTCTTGTTGTTTTTGTTGTTGTTCATTTTGCAGCACAACTGCAGCACCGTTCTACGTGTCGTACAATTTTGAATTCCGGCATTGCAGTCTGCACCCGCTGGCCAGTCGTCAGCCGCCAGTCTCCAGTTATTCTGTTAGCTGGCGATTGCGAGTTTGGCTTCCCGGTTCATTCGACAGTTCAAGGCAGTTCGTCCGCCTGTCCGTTTGTTTACTGATTGCTTGTTTACTTGTCTGCTTGTTTGCTTTTGGCAGTTTAGAAATTTCAGCCAACAAGGCTGCCGACTCCCACACAAACACGCGCACACCCACCAACACGTTCACAGGAAAATCCACACACCTGGGACATAGTTTTCATTGGCTGTGGGGGCGGTGGTGGTGGTGTGTACGCGTGTATGCGTCTGAGTGGGCCACGCGCTCTGTGATAGGTTTTGGTACTTACGTTGATCGCAGAATGGCCCCTTCCAGCCGCGTTCGCAGTGGCATTCGCCTTCTATGCAGCGTCCGTGGTTGGAGCAGTTCGGCACCTCGCACTCGCCGACGGGAATGTCGCATTCGGATCCCTTCCAACCCTCCTCGCAGTGGCAGATGCCACCACCGTAATGGCCATGAGCGGAGCAAAGTACCGGACAGACACCTGGATGGATGAAAAGAAAGAGAAACGAGAGTTTTTAATTCCCTTTTGCCTTTTTAAAGCGATTTTTTCTAGCACGACATAGTTTTTTTTTTACTCTGCTGTATTCACTTGAAATGTGAGATCTTTCATCTCAACAAAGTAGAAAAGAAAAAAAATTAAACAGAAGTTCACGCATTTTGTTATTTAATTATTCTGGTGTTGGATGAACATTTTTGTGTTCAATAAAAATTAAGAGATAAGAAAACTTAATAATTAAACTTGACCTTGAATTAAAAAAAAAAAACATTTATCGAACTGAAAGAATTTCAGCTCTTTTATGACACTTTTCTGTGCCATAGTTTTATGATCGAAAAACACAAAGCTATTTAAAAATATAAAGTCAAAGTTATTTAACTGCACAACTTTGAAAATACTGTTTGAAACGCTTTCATTTCGTATACTCACTTTTTGAACAATCCGTGCCTTGGTAGCCGTCGATGCAGTCGCATTTGCCAAGGTAGCAGCTGCCGCGCCCCGAACAGTCATTGGGACATGTTGTGCTCACGCCCTCCGCCTCTTCGACCACCAACGTCACCGAATGTGCAACCAATTCGTCATTGTAAACGGAGATGAACCACAAGCCCGTGTCCAGGTACTGCAGCAGCGATACATTCACCATCATTGTGTCCAGATCGAGCGCGGGTAGTCCGCCCATGCCGTCGGCCATGCCTCCAGCGCCAGCCACGCCAATGGCCGAACGCTTGTATAGCCGGCGCTGAGTCGCTCTCGAACGCTGCGCAAAATGCTTGGCTGTATCTAGCGGCGTTTCGACATCATACTCGCCTCCTCCATAATCATCGATTTCCGCCATTGCCGCCGAATCATCATCCGCCTCATCCAGAGAATCGCCTTCATCAGCATAGAAGCTGGACGACCGGCGCGGTCCGTTATTCGATTCGTGTGACGCGCGTTGCAGCTCATCATCATCATCGTCCTCTTCACCAACCCGCCATTGCATGTCCGTGTCGAAGTCCTTGAAGCCTTGAACGCTTTCATTCCGCCATTGCGCGGCGCGTTTGTGCCGCAGGTGACTATCCAGCCGACCGCCCTTGATGAACTCGACGAAATCGTGCTGCGTAACAGAAGGTGCTACGTTGCGGCGCGAATAGACCGCAAAGCTGGCGCCCCACGGCAGCGTGAAATTGAAGCGTATGAAGGCCGGGTGCTTGTTGCGAAATTCGAGGTTCCAGAACTGATAGGGTGGTATGTTGGCGTGGTAGAATTCATTGAAGTCCTTCAACTCCACCACCTGCGGCCACTTCAACAGCTGCTGTTGATGCTGTGAGGACTGTTGTTGCTGTGCCGTGTACGATTGGTCCTGCAGATGGGAGGTGGCATCTTGTGGGACGCCGGCCAATGTCTGTTGATGATTGATGGCATTTGGCTGCTGTTGCTGCAGCAGCAATTGTTGCTGCTGTTGAAGCTGCAGCGACGGCGCCGAGTTCTGCATGCCTCCATAGCCACTACTGGTTCCACTGTGGTCCGATGTGCTCGTTTGTATTGACTCCTCTGTGGGGTAGGCGGTTGGCAATTGGCCGCCACTGGCGCTGCTTCCACTGGATTTCACGTTGCCATGCAAGTCGTGTGGTTGCGACTTTACATCTTGGACTAGGATGCAATTTGTTGAGTCCATGTTGGGCTTCATCGAACTGACAGCTGCAATGAAAACAAGAAGAAGACACATTTGTTAAGGGGTAGACAAAACAATCACATTTTTGTTGGTATAAATATTTCTCAAAAAGTAAGAATGCCAGTGCGAATGGCCACAAAAGTAGCAACTGCTATGGCTCATATTGGGCACATGATAATCATCAATTGCGAATATGAAGTAGTGTGTGTGCATCTGGAGGTGACGCATTGCAGTCGCATCCATAATTTGCAGGCCTCTAAATCACAGTTCACCGGAAAATATGCAATGCATAAAAATACCATATGTGCAACCGAACAAGCGAATAGTTGTCGAAGTACGTGAGATATATGTATGCTGGCTGGCAGGCAGGTATGCAGAGCAAGCCATAATCCACGGCAGTGGCAGGAAAAAAATCGGTTGCCAAAAATGCAAAATCGTTCTGCCACACGTCGAAAGTGTGAAAGTGTGAGCGCGATAGCTTCAAGGAAGATGCGCAACTTCGCCGATAGGAGTATAATATAAACCAAATGCTGCCGCAGCATTTTGTTTTAGTTCCATCCTGCAGCATGACGGCTTACAGAAGAAGGAATGCATGTTGGATGGCCCGCAAAGTGCTGAGGTGTCTTTGGCTCCGGCGAATTTATGAGAGCGCACGTCTCGCCACAAAGAAAGCGAAACGAGAACCCTGCGCGTTCGCCTCCATGAGGGGCGCCAAGATGAAAGCGCTGCGCGGAGTTTTAAAGAAAATCGATTACTTAAGCATAAATTATGTGGCAGTGGCCCTAAAGTTGTAGACTACTGGCCATAACGACGTGGCGGTCCACTAGCCTCGTTTCCCCCCCCCCCCCCTTTTTTGCTTTTGAATTTAAATTTATTGCGAAATGGATGCCGCTCTCAGCAGCGGCGGCATTTGGGACGGTGCATATGGGCACTTACAACTGCCTCGGATCGCCACATCATGCCAGCAGCTAACCGCGCTCGTAAATCACAAAAAAATCGAGCTGTGGCAACTTCTGCATTTTCGGAATTTTCGTCTTTCTTCAGTTTCGATAATTCGTTTCTTCTTACCATTTCCCATTGTATGTGTAGCGTATGGTGTCCTCACTGACTATTGAGAGTCGGCCATTCAAATTTCAATTTTGCGATTTATTGCAACTTATTTCGAAATTTATGTACTAAAGATTCCCGTTTGAAAGCTCTAAATTTGAAAAGCTAAGAACTTTTCCCACAGCGCACGCCATTCAATTATTTCCCCATTGGCCTGGATTTAACGATGCGTTGATATCGCTTCTGCCTGCCTGCATGACAGCATGACAGCATGACAGTGAGCAAATTTTACGTAAATCGTAAATCGGGTGGGTATCTAGCGAGAGTGATTGCGTCTAACAGCCCAGTTATGCATACTTGGCTTTGCATGGGAGTTGTCACATAAGAATCTGTTAAGTGAGCTTTCCGTCTAAGCGGTTACCCAACGCATAGCGCTTAACATGTAGAATTCTGTAGGGGTTTTGATTTTTACGTAAAAATGGTATGGCAGTGCAAGTATGCATAACTGGGCTATAAGCGTCATGCGTGTGTACGTGAGTGGTGGTGTGCGGATGTGTTTGTGTGTGAGTGTGAGTGTGCCACTGCCACAATTTCTCTGTTTACTTTGTATTGAACAAAATACATATTTCACTTCGACAGCTCAAGGGCTTGGCTAAACACTAGCACTCCAAAACACAAACAACAATAATAACACCCACATTACATCAAGATTGTGTTGAAAGAAAGCGAAAATGAATGAAGAAACAAATCGGCTGCCATTTTTTAAATCGAATGTAGCACAAAAGTGTATATGTATTTCAAAATGCCTCCAAATTGTTTTAGAATTTCGAAGTATGTATCTCCAACTCAAATCACTGGCTTTTAGTCAGATATCTGCCGAGCTAAGTGTGCCACATTTGGCTGATTGGTTGGCGCTAAGCCCTGCTGATTGAAAAATGGTTTTTTAATGGTGTCGGGGGGATTCGGAGTGGCAGAGCAATCCGCCGTTTTCACTTTCACATCGCTGCTTAACAACTCAACAACAACTCAAAGTGACTAACTTGCTTGCGAATATAACCAGAAGAAGCAATGCTTAAAGTAGTATAGACAGAAATGTTGATTTGCTGTGACTGCTCTGTTTTATGCGCACCCAGTTGTTGTTGTTGTCAGTCGTCAATTATGCGGAGCTCCATTGTCGACTACATATTGTGTTTCATACTTTCACTAATCAAAAGCAAAAGGCCACGAGCCGAATGGCATCTGAATGGGCATCCTATATGGGGCAAGTCAATATTATTTAACTACATTATGCATCGGCGCCCAGAGTGGTTTGGCTCCTTAACTTCCCCGCCGGCAGCTCATAGGCGCATTAAAACTGACCGATGCTAATATATGTTTGTACATATGTACTTACTTAGAACCAATATATGGCATTGAATACTTGAAATACTAATTAGTACACTGCTACACACAGATAAACACACACACACACACACTAAAACGACTCGGGCTGTCAATATGTAATCGATATATAAATGCGCGTCTAGGAGTGTGCGCTTACATGCAGAGCTAATGGGCCCAGGCCTCGATAGCACAACTTAATGAATCCCTGAGGAATTGCTTTTACTTTGCCGTTTGTATTGAATTCCAGTTTTGTCGGCCGCGTCAAGCAGCCCGTCGCACCCACCTATCCAGCCGTCCGAGCAATCTGTCGCACCCCGTCTACTTCCGCGCCATTCCAATGACAACAAAGTCAATTCAAGATGCGAGGAGTGTAAGTAGAAGGCAAGTAAATAAATAATGACGCCGCCAAAAAGGAGTGCCATTACGCACTTAAAGTGCCACAGAGTGGGGCATTGAATGTGCATTTACACACACACACACACACTCCAGTGCAGGGTGGTTTTTGTTGATTGTGTGGCAAATTAAATAAGCGACGCCTGCAAACAAAACCCAATACAAACCACTAAATATAATCAATTTTAATTGACAGCCCACACAATACCAATACAGCGATTACACAGACATAATGACAAAAATACTTGTACCAGCCGAAGTGTATAAATCGATATGGCAACAATGGCAAAAACAAGAACTTCAAGCAAAAGGACATTCGAAAAGACACAACAGAGATACAAGGGTGCATATGGAGCTTTATGTATTCTCCCTGTCAACTGTGCATTAATGGCCGTAATTTCAGCGGTTATTTTACCATATTAGGCGACAAACTATGCACATATCGTATCGATGTTAGTTTGTAATAAATATGTATCTGAAAATGTGCGCGCTAGTCGAAAGACAGCAAAGAAAATGCCACACCAGTGTGCACAATCGCTTCCTTCCAGTAACAGTCGCACCCGCCGCTGCCGCACCGCTTGGGCTAAACAGTTTCCACTTTGTCTCAAAGCTTGTTAGCTCAATGGTTCAAAGCTTTTAATTTCTTAACGATGGCTCACAATTTAATGGCGCGCAGTTGGAGCAGAGCGATTGACCTATTTTTATTTATGTCTCTATTTGTTTTCATTGTCGCTTTCTCCAGCCGCTGAAGCGCTTGATAAATTAACGACATCGTACAAGAAAAATAATTTCTTTGCCTATTTAAAGGCGCAAGCTACATGAGTTTTCTTTTAAGTGACAAAAAAGGGCTAAATAAGCTCATTCAAGCGAAAGTTCAAACTTTTCTACCCACTGCATGAGAAATGCTGGTCTAATATACATATCTCTAGCTTAGAGTGAAAAGTTGCTAAGTCCACTTTTATGAAAACTCATATTTTGATACAGGAGGCTAGAGAAAGTAAAAATGCATCGTTTCGAAAAGGGCAAAGGTCCTTGTTCATGTTTTCTCGTTTATATTGAATGAAAGGAAAATTTGCTAAGTCCAAAAAAAGCTCCGAAAATTCGATAAGGCATAGTACGAAATCTTTGAATATAGATCGAATCCCTTTGATTCGTATGGAGTTTGTCTTTGCTTTAAGCAGGCAAAATGTTGTATTCAAAGTTTTGCGAAATACTTGAAGAAAATGGCTATAAGAAGTTTTTTTCCTCTCCCGTACAATTTTCAAATAGGGACTTAGTAACTTTTCTTTCTAAGCTAGCAATATGTATGAAGTAATATGCGGCATACGACTGAATCCCCTTGCCTCCTTAAAAACGTTTTTTTTTTTGTTCTTTTTGGAAAGCTATGCAGACAGCGCGTGATTGAACTCATTAGGCCGAAAATTTAATGACAACCATTCATTAATTTATTGATGTCAATTTCAAATATTAATCCCCGATTCAGCACAAACGCACACAAACTAAAACTCATTCCCAGCGGACAGAATGCTCGCAAACGAATCGGATATTGATAGGAATGTGATTCAACTATGGGAATGTGACGTTTAGTTTGTTGCAGAAATTTAGGGCATTTTTTTTTTGTTTTCAAATTTATAGAAAAGTTCAAGCTGCAATGCTCGTGTGATAGGGTTTTACGACCAACAAAAGCTTTGCCAACCGTTCTTTTCCAGGAGATTTTAATACGATTAACAATTAATTGCGATTTCAAAATAGTGCCAAGTCACCGAAAACAAGAAGTATTTTTTCTAGTCGAATTGTAATACTGACTATGTGAAACACTAACCGTACACAATGCCCCTCAAATATTCGTTGCGCTTCGTTTGTGCTGTCGTTTTAACTGCCGAAGCGACGTACGAACAGCACAGCACAGCACAATTTTCTGGCTCTTAACATTTTGAGCAGGATTTCAGCTGTGCGTTTGTGTGAAACTAAAGGCGGGTTCACCGCTCGTGTCCGGACAACATTTTATTTGCTCTCAAAACATTTTTTCCGGAGAGGGTGCTGAAGTACGGTTTACCGTTCAGTTTGGCACATTTTATTTTGTTCTGACGCAAACAGCTGATGTTATTGTTGCCTACATAAGATTTTGAGTTGCAAACGTATATAATGAGAACGCGGCAACCCGAATCCTCAAGTCGTTCGGACAAAAAATCCAAATCAATTTGATTCGGACAAAGAGTGTTCAGCACAAAGTATCCGGACACGAACGGTGAATCCGCCTTTAAAGTGCGAAACGTTGTCTTATGGTTGTTGTAAAAAACTGTCGAATATTTCACATTTTCATACAAACGTACAGAGTTTTGCTTTAAAGAGTGAACTCCAGTTATATATCGTCCCTACCATGCACCCTAATTGCGATCTTGCATCTACCTCCGACGAAATTGCTCGGGGCGGATGTTATTACAGGAGTAAGACTCAAAGATACCAGTTCATAAATATTAAGACGAATTGTAAAAGTGGCGAATTGACAAGGAAAGATTCGACCACATCCGTCCACGAAAGAACACGGTCGGTAAATCAATGGCTTCATTTGAACGATATTCAAGAGATCCCACGACTCATTTCTTTTCATCCTGTGGGACAGCGAGGATACTTGGCCCTCCTATAACTGAAAACTGTCATCTGTGCTCTTGAGTTTCCTTATAAGCACTTTTATTGGCTACCATGGTACATCGTAAGGAACGAAAGCAATGTTTGGTGGCATCTTCATACTTTGGTTTAAATTTTAATATTAAACACTAACAAACCTTTTTTCTCGCATTTTCATTTTTATGTATTTATTC